CCCCTCTGGCCTACATAGTGCTTTCTTTTGACTTCCTCATTCAAAATTTTCAGTGACCCCCCTTTTTTAAAAAAGTAAAGGGGAGGAGATGTGGGACTGTGTAAGGGTATTCTGGGTCATGGTTGAGCAGGTGTCTAGAACCCGGAGACTCTGTAGACTCTTCGTGGGATTCTCCGTGAGAATCAGCAGGAGTTTGGCACTCCCCAGAATCCAGGATCCTGAAAAGCGGTCACGGTCTCCATAGAATTACATTGTTCAGTCACATAGGCCAGGCTATAGGCCTCAGGCCCTAGGGATTTACATACTAATGAAGGCCAGAGGGCAGAGCAAATTAAGCATGCCTCTCCCAGATCCTCCCCCAATCCTCCCCCTTTCTCCCTCCCTATATAGCTCAGGACTGCCCTGAGTTTTCGGGGGTACGCCTAGATCCACCTATCATCCGCCAAGACAATAAACCTTTTTGGAACCAAGGACTTCCTCGTGTTATTGGGGCCTGCCGCCGCCAAAGCCTCTAGCCCGCTGGAACTATAGGGTTCCTCCCAAATGTGGGACCCACCACAGCGTGGAAGCTCCTAAAATTTTCCCCACACATTCCCACTTTCTCTTCTATTAGATGCAGTATATCTGGTTTTATGTTGAGGTTCTTGATCTACTTGGACTTGAGCTTTGTACAAGGAAATAAAAATGGATCAATTTGCATTCTTCCACAAGCTGACTGCCAGTTAGACCAGCACCATTTGTTGAAGATGCTTTCTTTTTTCCACTGTATGGTTTTGGTTTCTTTGTCAAAGATCAAGTGACCATAGGTGTATGGGTTTATTTCTGGGTCTTCAGTTTTATTCCATTGATCTACCTGTTTGTCTCTGTACCAGTACCATGTGGTTTCTATCACTATTGCTCTGTAGTAGAGCTTGAGGTCAGAGACGGTGATGACCTCAGAAGTTCTTTTATTTTAACAATTGTTTTCACTATCCTGGGTCTTTCATTTTTCCAGATGAAGTTGGGAGTTGTTTTTTCAATATGTGTGAAGAACTGTTTTGGAATCTTGACGGGGATTGCATTGAATCTGTAGATTGCTTTTTGTAAGATGACCATTTTTACTCTGTTAATCCTACCAATCTATGAGCATGGGAGGTCTTTCTATCTTCTGAGATCTTCTTTGATTTCTTTTTTCAAGGATTTGAAGTTCTTGTTCTACAGAACTTTCACTTGGCTTGTTGGAGTTATACCAAGATATTTTATACTATTTGTGACTATTAAAGGGTGTTGTTTCCCTTATTTCTTTCTCAGCTCATGTGTCCTTTGTATAAAGGAAGTCTACTAATTTGCTTGAGTTAATTTTATATCCAGCCCCCTTGCTAAAGTTCCTTATCTTCCTCTGGTAGATTTTTTTTGGGGGGAGGGTTGCTTATATATATCATATTATCTACAAATAGTGATACCTTGACTTTTCTTTCCAATTTCTATCCCCTTGATCTCCCTTTGTTATTTTATTGTTCTAGCTAGAACTGCAAGTACTATATTGAATAAATAGGGAGAGAGTGGGCAGCCTTGTTTTGTCCCTGATGTTAGTGGGATTGCTTTTATTTTCTCTCCATTTAATGTTTGCTATTGGTTTGCTATATATTGCTTCTATTATGTTTAGGTATGTGCCATGAATTCCCGATCTTTCCAAGACTTTTAACATGAAGAGGTGTTGTATATTTTGAAGGCTTTTCAGCATTTTATGAGATGATCATGTGATTTTTTTTCCTTTGAGTTTGTTTATATAGTGTATTATGTTAATGGATTTCTGTATATTGAACCATCCCTGCATCCCTGGGATGAAGTCTACTTGATCATGGTGAATGATGGTTCTGATGTGTTCTTGGATTCAGTTTGCTATGATTTTATTGAGTATTTTTGTATCAATATTCATAAGGAATATTGGTCTGAAGTTCTCTCTCTTTTTTGGGTCTTTGTGTGGTTTAGGTAACAGAGTAACTGTGAATTAGGTAGTGTTCCTTCTGTTTCTATTTTGTGGAACAGTTTGAGGAGTGTTGGTATTAGCTCTTCTTTGAAGGTCTGGTGTAATTCTGATCCATCTGTCTTTATATGTTACTTGGCCTTTTTACCTTACAGCTTTCAGTGTTCTTTCTTTCTTCTGGGCATTTAGTGTTTTGATTATTATGTGATGGGAGGAGTTTCTTTTCTGGTCCAATATATTTGGAGTTCTGTAGGTTTATTGTACTTTTATGGCCATTTCTTTCTTTATGTTGGGGAAAATTTTCTTCTATGATTTTGGTGAAGATATTTTCTGGCCCTTTGAGCTGGTAATCTTCACTTTCTTCTATTCTTATTATTCTTAGGTTTGGTCTTTTCATTGTGTCCTGGATTTCTTGGATATTTTGAGTTAGGAGTTTTTAATGCTTTGTATATTCTTCGACAGTTGTGTTTATATCTTCTATGCCTGAGATTCTGTCTTCTATCTCTTGTATTCTGTTGGTGATGCTTGCATCTATAGCTCCTGTCTTCTTTCCTAGGTTTTCCATTTCCAGGGTTTGCCTCTGTTTGTGATTCCTTTATTGCTTCTATTTCCCTTTTTACATCTTGGACCACTTTGCTCAATTCCTTCACCTGTTTGAATGTCTTTTCCTGTATTTCTTTGAGCAAGTTCTTTGTTTGCTCTTTAAGGGTTTCTACCTTAGAAGTTAATTAAACCTTAGTGTTTATGTTTTCCTGTATTTCTTTAAGTGAGTTATTTATATCTTCCTTTAAGATCTCTATTATCTTTATGAGATGGGATTTTAGGTTAGCATCATGCTTTTCAGGTGTGTTGGGGTATCCAGGGCTTCTTGTGGTGCAAGAGCTGGGTTTGGTTCTGATGGTGTGAAAGTATGTTGGTTTCTGTTAGTTATGGTCTTGTGCTTAGCTCTTGCCATCTTGTTATCTTTGATGTTAGCTGCCCTGGGTGTCTCTGTCTGAAGCTTGTCCCCTGTGTACCTGGGTTGCAGCGGATCTCCTGGGAGTTCTGTGGCCCTGTCTGCAGCAAATCTCCTGGGAGTTGTGGTGGTGAAAGAATGGAGCATGCAAGCAGATCTACTCAGTTGCAGGTGCAGACCAGAAGGGAAATGTTGTTCCTGCAGAGGGGAGGGGGTTCCACATCCATTGGGCTCCTCAGGAGTCCGAGCTGCTGCAGTTATTTTGATGGGTGTCTTACCTGTTGCCCTGGCTGCATCAGGTCTCCTGGTAGATTTGCAGACTTGTGGTGTTGAGAGAGAGGTGCAGACAAGTAAATCAGCCCAGGCTCCGTGGAGGTGGGAAGGGAAAAGGCCTTATTTACATTTTGACTAGTTGATCACATTCTTCTTGGTCTGTTTTCTCCTTCCTTGTGACAAAAACATTTTAAGTTTGATTTACCCTCATTTGCTTATTTTTCTATAAATGTGTATCCTTCTTGGGTCATAGGTTTAGAAATGTCTTTCTGAGCAGTGTTGTAGAAATTTTATACCATATTTGTTTCTTGTTTTATAGTTTATATTTTCGCCTTGAAGTTTTCAATTATTTGCTGATTTTGTATATAATATGCGACAAGGGGCTGAAACTGAAACCTAGGATTTCATCCTGTGAGTTGTCTGGGTTAAAGGCTACATTGAATTGTTGTATCATAATATGTCTATGATTACAATGAGGATATTAATGAGTAAGCAATTAGACCCTAATGCTAGACTTGAGGCTGGTGGAGCTGTTCAGTATCTAAATTATGAAGACCCTGGATAAGTTTAGAAAGGCTTCTTAAGCTCTTTATACCTTCAAAAAACATGCCTTCAAACGACCTTTGTGAAGCTGGAAACTTCAAACCTCTGATAGCCCCTAGAATCAACTTCTAAATGCTTCTGAGGAAATCTCTTTCTTTGGCTAAGGAAATGGTGATGGCCACTTTTAGGAAAAGTCCTTTCTTATCCTGGGATTTCTCAGGACCTTCCCAGATACTCTGTAATTTAGTATACCTAGAGGTCTTGACTTCTAAATAGCATATCAAGATGAAGATGAATCACAAAGTGTTACTCATGAAGATATGCACTGTATTCTAAAACAGTGTTCTCATTCCCTGATTCATAATTTGGATATAGTGTGTCAGAATGAATGTGAAGATTGTCAGGAACTGTAGCCCTTCCCTGAAAATTTGGACCAGGTCAGATTTAATAATGTAGTTTTAGCTAGTGAATATTCTTACCTTTAATATTATACCTCAGTGATGCAGAAAGGTCTCAAATTCTTTGTGTAGTTATTAGGAGAGGCATCCAAAGCCCAGCTTATTGACAATTTAAGAAGTAGTCATTATTTAAAAAGCATCTGTTTTCCCCTTCACATTAGCACACAGAATTACTCTTACTCTCTGCTCACTGACACTGGGAGCCTCCTATGTATAAGGTCTTTTCAGATTCATGTGAGAAACAAGTTAGTGGATTAAAAGTATAAAGCTATCAATATCTCTGAAGAGTGTTGCCAGAGTCTCTTTGTTGGTCTCAACTTGGGGTGGGAATGGTGGCCAGTGGATTCAGAAACCTAAATACAATGATTATAATTGGATCCAAAGAGGTCATATGCCTTGTGACTGCAAGGAAACTGAAAATATGAAGGAGGCTGTAGGATGGTTGTGATGGTTTGATCTGAACAAGCCCTGACTGCATAAACTAATTTAGGTAGAAGTGACTCCATGTTCCTGCTCTGTCCTCTTGCCACTTAAGATTAATTGGAGTAAAATGGTCCTCATTAGTACATTTCTTAAAAAAATGAAATGGAATCATATTTGCTTATTTCATGGCCATATTTCTATTTGACAAGACATGGATTTTCAACTGGTCTGTCCTTTACTGCAGGTGCCCTAAAATAACCCACATTTCCTTAACTCAATATTGATTTATAGAAGACTCATTTTATAATAAAGAAGCAACACCGTAGTGTGTTTTCCTTTATTAAAGTAATAATTACATATTGTTCATGTGACTTCTGGTATACTAATAGCGTTTTTGGCAACACTTGCCTTTTCCTTTATAACAGGTGGCAACAAAATTAGTCAACCATGGGCATTCAAAGTAGTAACAGCCATTTTTATTTTGGACACATTTTGATGTGTCATGGCCAGTAGCTGTTAAAAGAAAAGAACAGAAAACCATTAGTCTCTTAGCTGTAGCTGGGGTCACCTTTAGCATGTTGATGAACATATAAGAGTTCTATACAAAGTACATACAAAAGAAAACATTTTATAACTTATATTTTGGACATGTAATAAAATATGAGCGGTCTTGAACTAGCACTCCAGGGAGAATTCCTCAGGTCAGTAGCCATATGGATTGCGGTTATTACATTAGAAAACCAAATGGAGAATACTTTCTTTTCTATTCATTTTGAGACGAGTCTCACTCTATAGGCCTCACTGGCTTGGAATTCATTATTTAGGTCTGGCTGGCTCTGACTCATCCTCTTAGATGTTGAGATTAAAGGAAGAACCGTGATCTCCAGCTGAAGAACATTCTCATCACCACAAATTCTTTAGTGGGACAGTGGTACCATGGTGGTGGGAGGAAATGGAGTGATGTTCTGTTTTCCCACTCCAGAACCTTCTCAGAGAAGCATTATAGCCTAACCCACTCGCTTGCTAACACTAAATCCATCTTCTTGAGTTCTGTCTCACATCCTTTCTCTACATTTTGGGGGTTCTGGCTTCTCTTGAGTATGATTGTTGAAAGAGCAAGGCCCCAAATCTAACCTTGACCTCTACAATGATCATCCCTAGTCAGACCCTCCAGAGGTGACCATTTCCAGGATTTGTTTCCTTTTGTGGAACTATTGGATGCTGGCATGACTCTAAGAGGATTCTTCATGTATTCTATGTTCCCTCATGAAATACTTGCAGCTGATTGGTACTCGAAAGAGCAATAGAAATCAAGAGATTTTTTGTTTTTTGTTTTTGTTTTTTCCCAGTATAGAATAGAGTTTTTTCAGGACATAGGGAGGGGAGTTAAGAGGGTAGTAGAGGCAGAGAAAGGCAGAGAGAGAGAGAGAGAGAGAGAGAGAGAGAGAGAGAGAG